AGATAGATAGATAGATAGATAGATAGATAGATAGATAGATAGATAGATAGATAAAACAGAACTTCTGATGTCAAAAGCAAGGTTAGTATATCTGGGGACTTTCCTGGATGGTAGAACTATGGCTAGGTCTTTGATGGATTAGGTCTTTGTTCCCTTTCTGGCAGGTGTTGGGACCTATGTGCTGACTTCTAAGGTCAGAATAGTGCCTCCAACATGACATCAGTCAGGTAAGATCTGGGGACCTGTTACAAGCAACCCCAGTAGCCACCAGACATTAAGAAAAATAAACAATTTTATGGATTGTTGGGTGGATAAAAGCCACAGAAAAACTGCATCTCCCCTGGACCCCAGGGTAGAGCCAAGGAAATCAGCTGAGCCACTTCAGGGCTTGAGAGAGCCTGCTCCCTTGAGTTTCCAAGGCTGGCCAGTTCACCATAGGCAGGGCCACAATGTCCACGGAGACCCAGAAGCCAAATAAATGACACCCTATGATATGACCCATTGAGGAAGGAGTCTTTTTCCAAATGGTCTCTTTGGCTAGTCAGATTGAACAAGCCCTGGTCTACAGGGTCTTGTCAAAGCCATCCTTTTCTAGAGACACTCAGGACTGCCTGGATGAAATTCTGATCTAGTAGAGTCCAGCCAAAGAAGAAATCAGAAGGCAGAACCAGAGAAGAGAAACTACAGAAGACCATGTATCACTAAAGCTCTAAGAATTCATAGTGTCCTAAAGAAACAGGTCAGAGAGCAGTGCAGGTACAGACCTGAGTAGCAGAGTAGTCCCAAACAAGTGTTTCCACCCACTAGACATAAAAATGAGAGACCCCAAGAGGCACAGAATCAACTGTGCAAAGAGGAGGGAACAGGATGAAGAGAGGATGGACAGGACAAGACTAAACCAAATGGAGGCAAATGACTCAGGCATCTGTATGGAAACTCAGTGACAGCAGGGACTTTAATGTGGACACAGACCTGCCATATCATGAGACTCTTAGCTAGTGACAATAGAAATCAAATCTGAGTCAGAGAAAAACGTGAGTAAGGGTATCAAGAAGCTTGCAAAAATCAAGAGGAAGTCGAAAATGAGTCTTAGAAGTGGGCAGAAATCAAAGTAAGCGTGGCAAGCTGAAAGAGCGGCCTGAAAGTTGGTACCGTGGCCATTGAGCACTGGGTGTGGCCGCCTTGTTCACCTTCGTGGGCCGAAGGATGCATTCACTGCTAGGACAACTGATTGTCAACTGTCTAGTGATTTTAGGTCATTTCGCAGATGAAAAATATATAAATGGATAACCCTCGGCTGATGCCTGTGGTGGCTGGAATGGAAATGACCTCCATAGACTCATCTTTTTTGAAGGTCTAGTCCCTAATTGAAAGGATTAGGAGGTGTGGTCTTGTGGGAAGAGGTGTATCATTGAGAGTAGCCTCTGAGATTTCAAAAGCCTAGAGCCTCTCTCTCTCTTTCTCTCTCCCTCTCTCTCTCTCTCCCTCTCTCTCTCTCTGCCTCTCTCTCCTACCCCTCTCTCTCTCCCTCCTAAAACTCCAGCACCATGCCTGTCTGCTGCCACACTCCCTACCACGGAAGTCATGAACTTACCCTCTGAAACTGTAAGCAAGCCCTAACTGTTTTGCTCTTATTAGTTCCTTTGGTCATTGTGTCTCCTCATGGCAATGGAACAATAATTAAAACAGTTCCCATGTAATCAACTAAAAACCACATCCTCTAACTTTAGAGTTGAGGGACTGTTAGTTTTCTATTGGTGTAACAAAATACATGACAACTACAAAAGGAAGACAGATTTACTCTGTCTTCACAGTTTCAAAGGAGTCCATGTTCGTTTGGTTCCAGTGTTTCTGGGCCATTATGAGAAAGACCATCATAGAATGGTGAGGATCCAGTGGTAGAACAAGATACTCACCTCATGACACAGACAGTATGAGAGGAAAGGCCCACAGATAACATAGATCATCCAGAAGCATGCTCCCATGACACACCTCCTCTCTCTAGATCCCACTGTCCAATAAGCCACTCTACACTACACTCAATAATGGATTAACCATTTGTTCAGTTGGAGCTCTCGTGACCTAAACATCTCTCAATAGGACCAGCATCTTGAGACAATCCTTCAACACTTGGGCTTTCTCAGGGATATCTTCATGCACAATCTATAACAAGGAGTGGGGGAGCAGCTTCCGTAAACCCACAAGTACAGAAAACAGGTGTTGATGGATACAGAAAACAGGTACTGAGAATGAGGTTGGGATCAAAGTAAGGTCCAAATGGATGAATACAGACTACCATTGACCCGTTGTCCATTTAAGTCCTCCAAGTTATGCATCATCTCAACAAGGAAAACACTCAATGTCATGTTTGAGAGAGTTTTAGATCCTGTAAAAACACATCCAGAAATGATCCATAGAGCATGGGTGGGTTCTTGACCTCCAGTGCTTCTAAGTGACTTGAGAAGGAGGGAAGGATTGGAAGGAAGGGAGGGCTGTCTGACTCAGAAGTCTAACTCATTCCTCAGCATAGTAATGCTGCTTCTAGTCCAAGGGGGAAAAAAAAAAAAACCTACCCTAAGAAAAAGAACAAATTCCAGATTTGAGGTCAAATTCTTTATAGCATCCTAGGTGTTTTGAGGTAGGATCTCACTCTATATCCCTGACTGGAGTGGAACTCACAAAGATCCATCTGTCTGTACCTCCCAAATTCTGGGGTTAAAGGTGTACACCACCATGCCTGGCAAATATTCCAGAAAAATTTAAAGTTAATTGGACACACAGAAAAAATGAAGAACAGCTTCCCAAAATTAAACCAACTCTCCATGCTGCTCCTAGGCCCAGGCTCCTGGATTTAATCCCAGAGTCTGGTTCCTATTTCAGCAAAATTCTCAGGGAATTTAGTACAGAAAGCCCATCCTGGTTCTGGGAAATGGTACACAAAACAATCAGCCTTGCCCCCAGGAAACACAAGAACAGGGAAGACCCTGGAAGTTTCTATAAACAAGTTAATGATTACATCAATTAAAAAAACAGTCGAGAGAAACACTGTGTATTCACACAGGCACCATCGTACAAATAAGGAAATGGGAGAGAAAGGAAATCCAGAGTTCTGGAACACAGCGAAGCCCATTGCCCAAATTCAGCCTTCTTTCTTAGTACTTCCGCCAGCTCTCAGAATCCTCTAACGAGTCTAAGCAGCAAAGTTAAATCTTTGTCTTTACCAGCTCAGTCCCCTCTGAGTCTCCAGGGTACCGCTGGGTCACTAGATCTAAAAGGTGTAAAAATATCCAGAGCAAGTACTTTTGCCAAAAGCACACGCAATTCCCCAGTCGTTCTTTTCCACCCTTTATGTCCGTATGAGTGACCTTCGCACAGTGCTCTCAGGAGGGCTCTAACCTTGTCCTTCATTTGGGCGATGAAGGAAACTGGAGGCACAGAGAAAAATTGGTAGTTCTCACTGTCGTAGTCACGATTCTGTCACTGTGAAGAGACACTATGACCAAGGTGACCCTTAAGAAAAAAAGCATTTAATTGGGGCCTTGCTTACAGTTTCAGAGGTTAAGTCCACTGACATCATGATGGCACACGTGGCCTGGAGCAGTAGCTGAGAGCTACGCAGGTGGCAGTGACACGCTTCCCCCAACAAGGTCACGATTAATAACCTTCTAATCCCTTCAAAGAGATCCTGGTGACTAAGCATGCAAAATACTTGAGCTTATGGAGGCCACCCTCATTGAAACCACTACATTCACTAAGCCACATAGTAAGAACATGATAACATTATAATTCAAGCCTGATACTTCTCTTTAAAGTCTGATCCTGCTCAGGTCAAAATGGTGGGCAAGCCTGCTGTTGTGGTGTCAAGCAAGTAGCTGGATGGTTTTCGAAAATGGTATTATAATGGTGCAGGATTCAATAAACTGGGGTTAACATGAGATGACACAATGTTTGAAACTGAAGATGTAAAAGAAGCCATAAGAAGGCTTCCCGAGGACCTTTATAACGGCAGAATGTTTCGCATTAAGAGAGCCCTGGACCTGACTATGAGGCATCAGATCCTGCCTAAGGAGCAGTGGACAAAATGTGAGAAGGACAAATTCTACCTTGAACCCTATCTTAAAGAGGTTATTCAGGAAAGAAAAGAGAGAGAAGAATGGGCAGAGAAGTGATCTCGTCGTTGAGATCTGTGGGTGTGCCTGGTCTCAGCATATTTTCATGACATTATTTCAACCTGAATCACAATTTAAGAGTTATTGGCTCTGCAGATGCCTCATTTTAAATAAATGTCTACTGTAAAAAAAATCTGATCTCAATCATAGTTGTGATATATATAAAGATAAAATTTATAATAATAAAAATAATGACAGCAAGCTGGGCATGGTGGCACATGCCCTTAATCCCAGCACTTGGGAGGCAGAGGCAGGCAGATCTCTGAGTTTGAAGCCAGCCTGGTCTGGGAGTTCGAGTTCCAGGAGGGCCAGGGCTACACAAAGAAACCCTATCTTGAAAAACAAAACAAAGGACATTGCTCCTAGAAGCATTGCAGGTGTGGCTGCTGTGTCTCATGTGCATCAGTGAGTGGCAGAGAAGAGAGAGGTGATGTCTATGCTCAGGGGTCTGACCTGTGGACATCTGAATGATTAGTAGCCTAACACCTCCTGAACAAAAGCAAACCTGAGATGACCACCAGTTCAGTGCCAGGGGGCCCAGACAGGGAGCCAGCCTAGGATGAATACCAGTCCAGTGCTGTTCAGGCCTGGACTAGCTCCCAGAGTGGGGGAGTGAGCTGGAGACTCAAAGAACACCACCTAGGACCATGGGTCCTGGTCAGAAGTAAGCCCAAGACAGACATCCCTTGAGTGGGGGCATGCAGGCCTCGGTGAGGAGTGAGCTGGAGATGACCACCAGTCCAGCACCATGGGTCCTGGACAGGAAGCTAGGCTGAGACAACAACCCTCCGGTTCTGCCTCTCTTCCCTTCTCCACTACTTACTTGCTTCTTTTAGTAGTGCCCAGGGTCTCTGAGTGTCTGGGGTCCTCTCAGGAGTGGTCTCAGGAGTGCTATGCCTGGGAAGAAGTCATCTCAGCCATGGTCTGCCCCCCCCCACCCGTCACCCTTCCCTGGTGGAGAAATGGAAGAGAAAGAGGAACAGAGGGATGGGGACACAATGAAGAGAAACAGAACTGGAGATTCGAGGGTAGTGAGGAACAGCCTGCTGTGAGTAGCCGATGATGCGACCTGGGACCAGTTGGGGTCCTGGCCTGTGCTGCCACTGTGGGCCACGTTTGGGACTGTGGCCCTGCAGAAGCAAGGGTTTGTGATAACCAAAGCCCAGGCAAATGTCTATGGTCTGGTCTGCCACCTGGGTGTCTAAGGGCTGTGCCCACCCCTCATGGACAAGCTGGCCTTGCAGGTGTGAGAGCAGGAGAGATGACTCTGCCCCTAGCCAGCTACAGTACTCTGGAGAGTGGACCCCACACATTGCCCTGAAAGTACAGTAGATCTGGCCCTAGTTGCAGGAGTTTGGGGTGAGCAGGCCCTGAGAGTGTGACTGTGAGAGAGATGGCCCTGATACTCATCTCCCCTTCAGTGGCATGGATGAGAGATTCCCTCCTTCCTCCTCACCACCTGCAGCAGGAAGGAGACTTGGCCCTGGGGTCATGAGAGCAGGAGATCTGTCCCTGCTCCCTCACTTGCTGCAGCACTCTGGAGAGAAGGCCCTAGGACCTTGCCTGGGAAGCACAGTAGACATGACCCTGGTGGCAAGGGCATGAGTGAGGCAGCCTGAGGCTGTGAGCATGGGAGAGCTGGCCCCACACCTTGTCTGCCACAATTTATCCCCACAACTTGTGTGTAGTCAAGGATGAGGGAGCGATACCCTCCTCCATCCTCTCCCCTTGCCACTTACTATAGGCAGGAGAACTGGCCCTGGGGTCATGAAAGCAGAAGAGCTGTCCCTGCCTCTCATCTGTTGTAACACTCAGGAGAGCAGGTCCTGCACCTTGCCTGGGCAGCACAGTAAAGCTGGCCCAGGAAGATGGGAGGTGCAGGTGAGCCTGCCCGAGGCTATAAGTGTGGGAGAAGCAGCCCTGCTTCTTGTCTTCTGTGTGGTGGTGGGGACAAGGAAGAGATGACCTCCTCCCCTCCTTTGTCCTTCACCACCTATGGCAGGTGGGAGAGATGGTCCCAGGGTCATGAGAGTGAGAGAACTGGCCCATCTCCTCGCCTGCCACCCCACTCGGGAGAGGGGTCCTGCACCTGGCCTGGACAGCACAATAGAGCTAGCCCTGGGAGCATGGGCTCGGATGAGCCAGCCCTGAGGGTATGAGAGTTGGAAAGTTGGCTCTGACCCTTGCTGGCTGCAACATTGGATGGGCCACCCAGGGCAGGACAGGAGAGCTCACCCAGGTGATGTGGGTGTGGGAGAGTAGGCAGGCTGATCAGCTCAGATACCTCTCAGCGCCAGATCCAGAGCTTTGAGTTGGCCCACCCCAACATCTACCCCATCCATGAACAGCTGGAGTGCAAGAAGGGGTTGGTCCTACAGACCCCAAACTACAGCATCCCCATGACACAGGACAGCAACAGGATATCTGAGGGGAGACCAGTATGGGTAGAGCAGCAGAAGCCAGAGGCCCCGTGTCAGAACAATAGCTCATTGTAATAAGCATTTGTAAGCAAAAAAGTATGGACAAAAGAGAATACTGTGGGAGACACCACAGCATCCACAATGAGATTTTTTTTCTCTTTGTTGGGGGTAGGCTGCAAGTATAGAAGGCGGGTACAAAAGGAAGGGGAGATGAGTGAGACTGGGGTGCACAATGTAAAATTCACAAAGAACCAGTTAAGAAGTAAATAAATAATAAATAAACAGATTAAAGACGTGTGCTACCATTAAAAAAAAAAGTGATAATAAATAATAGCAAAAACCTCTAGAATCCTCTGACAGTGGCATCAACAATATAGGACAAAAATACCAGGCCCTCATTCCTCCTAGAAAAGTGAGCAGCAGATTGACTAGAAATAGCATCGGGGGGGGGGGGGGTTTAGAAGCAAACAGGGACTTAAAAAAACAAAAACAAGCTGATGCTCAATCAAGAAAATGCAAGAGCTTTCTATTCTTTTATTTTACTTTTTTTATATTTGCTTTTGGTTGTTGTTGGTTTTAACCAGGTTCTCTCTACATATCTCTGGTTGTCCTGAAATTCAGTGTGTAGACCAGGCTGGCCTCAAACTCATAGAGACCAACCTGTCTCTGACTCTTGATTGCTGGGCTTCAAGATGTATGCCACCACTGCCAGCTATATTTGTTTATATTTTCTTTATGTATATGAATATTTTGCCTATATGCCTGTATGCATACCACATGTGTGCCTTGGATTACATACAATTGTGAGCTACCATGTGGGTGCTGGGAATTGAACACAGTCCTCTGCAAGAGCAGCAAGTGCTCTTACTGTTGAACCAGCTCTCCAGCCCCAAAGCAACACTTTTTAAGCAGTAGGAGATTTCAGGACATTTTCATACATCTTTGCCTATAAGATCTTTCTGGCATAGCATAATTTGGAAGCAGCCAAATCCTCCATTTCCTGAGAGAGAGAGAGAGAGAGAGAGAGAGAGAGAGAGAGAGAGAAGAGGAAGTGAATACTATTTTCAGTATTCCGGTTTGTCTGAATATCACGAAGGAACTGATTTTGTCCTGTATGACCCAGAGGTTACACAGCAGCAGCAGTGTCGTTTGGATATCGGGTGGCTAAAAGCAGTGACAGATGCACTCTGCTGTCCGTAGCTGGGGGCGGCCTGAGCCTCCGGATGGAGAACAACAAAGCTCCCACTGCTCTGAGAAAAACGGGGTGAGGCCCTTAGATAAAGCAAGATCTGTTGGGACTGGGCATGGAAACTCCACGGTTCAGAGGATTCCTGCAATCGTGGGGAATGGGAGTTCAGCTCCCATCGCCTGTGTAACTTAGCCAGGTACCCTGCACACACATGTAACAACTCCAAGGGAGCAGACACAGGAGGTTTCATGGGGCTTTACAGCTCCCATCCTACCCGAGAAAAAAACGATCCCCAGGGATACGGAGAGGGGCTGCCTCAAAAGGCAAAGTCAGAGAGTAACAGGAGGATACCCGCTGCCCTCTCCTGTCCGTTAAGACTAAGAACAAGACAAGGATGCCAGCTTTCAGCACCTTAGTATAGTACCAGAAGTCCTAGCTGGAGCAATTAGGCAAGAAAAGCAAAGGTAACTGTCTTAGTCGATGTTGTGTTGCTGTGAAGAGACACCGGGACCACAACAAAGCAGTTAATCGGGAGTTGCTGACAGGTTCAGAGGTTTAGTCCATTATCACCATGGGAGGGAGCACGTGGTACACAGACGGCCGTGGAGCTGGAGAAGGAGCTGGGAGTTCTACACCAGAATCTGCAGGCAGCAGGAAGAGAGAGAGAGACACTGGGCCTGACTTGGGCTTTTGAAACCTAGAAGCCTACCCCCAGGGACACTCGTCCTCCAACCAAGCCACACCTACAAACAAGGCCACACCTCTTAGTCCTTCTCAAGTAGTGCCACTCCGTGATGATTAAGCATTCAAATATAGGAGCTGATGGGGACCATTCTTATTCAAACCACTGCAGTCTCTGTATTGGAAAAGAAGAGGCAAGATTATCTCCATTAACAAGCAACATGAGAGCTAGAGAGATGGTTTAGCAGCTAAGGGCATGTCCTGCTTGCAGGGAGGTTCACAGATGCCCGCCACTCCAGCTTCGGGAGATCTGGCGCCCTCTTCAGGCCCCCTGCACTCATGTACACATTCCTGCACGTGGACAGCCACGCATGCACATACTTAAAAATAATATAAATAAATCTTTTTTTTAAAGCAGGCAACATAATCTTTTACAGAAAACTCTGTTACACACACACACACAAAAAAAAAAATGCTAAGAATAATAAATGAATTCAGCAAAGTGACAGGATCCAAAATCAACACGCAATCAGTTGTGTTCCTATGGGCTAACAACGAACAATCCAAAAGGGAAGTTAGGGGGAAACACGCCTTTTCCACAGAATCACAAAGAAGGAAAATGCTTGAGGAAGAAGTTAACCATGGATGTGAAAGGCGTGCCTAGCGAAACAGCAACGCTGCAGGACTCAGTGGCATTCCTATGTAGGAACACTCTGTGTTCACAGGATAGGAAACAAAATGTTAACCTGTCAACACTAAATCAAAAAAAAAAAAAAAAAAAAGCTGGGGTTTGGCTGGAAACTTGGCTCCGCGGTTAGGAGGACTCGGGTTCCGTTCCCAGCACCCACACGGTGGCTCACATCTCCTTCAGACCTCAACAGGTACTGCACACACCTGCTCACGCAGCCAAAGGACTCACACGCATATAAATAAACACGTCTTTTCTTGAAGATGTCAACACTACAGAAAGCAATATACAGGTTCTATATAATTTTTATACAAACAGTAGTTTTACAGAAATGGAAAAAAAAATCAATCTCAAAAACAAATGAATTCTCAGGGGGCCCTGAATAACCACAACACTGAGCGTCAAAAACACTGAGGGTACCACACTTCATGATTTCAAAACTCACACAAAGCTTCAGTTATCAAAACAGTGCTGGGCTGGTGTGCAGACAGACCTATGCACCATTGAGC